GTATGTGTTATTGGGGTGTTTTCGTTCAAGATAAGTAAGTGAATAAACTAAATTTAATGAAAACTAATATCATTTATTTAATTAAGGGACGCCGAGTGGGAGTTGGTACCCAACGCGTATGCCGAACTGATGGAAAGGCCTAATGTATGTGGAGCAGAAATATGCCAAAATGAGAAAGGACGCGGGCAGAGCAGTGATGCAAATCCATTCCAGTACTGCGTAACATGCGGTTCTGTGGCTATACATCTGCGATGTGTGCCACATCGAGGCAATTCATTTGAATGTGACACATGCCAGAGAATTTTGAACTCAGATAGTGGACATGAGAGTCTGAGCTCTCAGCAACAGAGTGTTGATAACGAAAATGAATGCACAGAAACGTTGGACGAAGATAAAAATTCTGAGGTCGATGTATGCGAAAACAATGACGAAAAATTGGGGAAAGAAAAGGATTCTGATGAAGAAATCTTACCACCGAAAATGAAGAGTAAAAATGCGCTTCGAATACTGGATGAAACCGAAGAAGCATCCTTTAGCGATGATGAAGACGAGGTTTCAATAATGGGTAGCAGTCGCAGAATACCCGAAAACAAGCGATATATAATTGATGCTCATAATACTGAAAAAAGTATCACCGAAGAAATTTTACCACCGAAAATGAAGAGAAAAAATGCGCTTCGAATACTGGATGAAACCGAAGAAGCATCCTTTAGCGATGATGAAGACGATGTTTTAATAATGGGTAGCAGTCGCAGAATACCCGAAAACAAGCGAGATATAATTGATGCCCATAATACTGAAAATAGTATCACCGATAACGTGGAACTGAACTGCAGTAAAGAAGAACAACTTTCATCAAGTGATGATGAGGCTATCTTCAGCGAGGATGAAGGATTAGTAGATGCTTTTGAAAGCCCAGAAATGCCGCACAGTTCCCGTGTAAAAGAAAATATTGGTACAATTATTCTTAAGTAAACCATACAGAAACTATATGTATACTTTTTCTCCTAGGCATAAACGAAGGGATACCCAGCAAAAGCCGACAACAGCGGTCGGAGAACAATATCAAAACAAAAGGTCAACAACAAGATTGTACGTTGCACACATCATTTATCACACAAAGAACACGGCGTAAATCATTGGCAGTACGTCCTCCGTCTCTCTATGTAGAAGAAAGTACGGATGGCGACAGCTCGTCTAGTTCGTATCGATCATCAAGACCTTATCAAGTATTTCAGTATGATGATGATGATTCAGCGACAAAAAGTGCAACTGAAGACGAACTACACAACACGGAAGATAATACATTTTGTTCCAGCAGTTATATAGAAGGTGAATTGGGAGATCATGATGAAAGTAAAGCATATTCTGGGCAAGTCCTCTTGGACTACTTCTACGCACTTTTGCTTGAGGTAAAGCAAAACAAAGGTGTAGAATGCGCTAATAAGAAAGATGAAAAAATAGTCGATGTTAATTCAGAACAGCCAGGCTGTAACAGAACCCAACGACGGGAAAGAGGAGGTATAGTACAAAGAGTTTCAAAATAAGCTACGTGTGTAAATTATGAACGTTTTTTATTTACTTTAGCAACTCGCGAAATGGTTAAAAATCAAGCCACTAGCGCGTTAGACGTAAGTTGTGTAGCCAACCGAACATACATACAAAAGACGACGAGTCACACGACTTCCGTTGCCGTTGATCAAGATAATCTTTCCATAAACACTAGTATATATGTACCGCCAAGATATGTGAAGCTCGAATCTTCAAATGTAAGTTGCATAGCACAACGCACCCGCCGTCGTTCGAACAAAGTCGATATAATTAAAGAAGATGAAGCAGAGGAAAATAACGTGTTCGACGTGCTTAAAGATTGTGCTGATACGAATGATGAACAAATTATTGATACTAAGGCAGAGCAGCAACGCAAATTGGATAAACAGGGTATTTTGAAAATACATATAATTTCAGTAATATAGACAATTACATATATATGAAATACAAAAAGCCGTAACTATCTAAAAATCCCAAAATCAATTTTTGATTGATTAGGATGCATTTCATCAAATTATAAGTTCCACTTCGTTAGTTAGTTGCGGGTTTTTGCATTTCAGCAACAATGTGGTCTTTCTATATTAAGGTAACGATATGCTTTGGTGAAAATATTAAAATAATCATTAATTGCAGAAATTCGAGAGAACAATAAAAGCGAAACCACAAATTCTTTAGACGTAAGTTGTATTGCCAACCGAACGCGCCGGCGCTCCTCGCTGAAAATGCAAAACATAAGAAATCGGACGTCTTCCCTTGGTTATGAAGAAACTGATTCGGATGATACAGTTTCTACAATTTCTGCTAATTCTGCTGATTCATTTAGACCATCTGATTACCAAGAATCTGCTCCTCGCAAAAGTTTGAGGGGCGCTGATGTTATTTACGAAGAAACTGAGTTAGAGGAAGCCGACGTCTTGGATGTGTCGTGCATTGCAAACCGTACGCGTCGTAAATCTGTGTGCCTTAACAAGATCAAGAATCTTACTGCCAGTAATAGCAGCCACAGCAGTTGTCCAAATGATGCGGCTAGTACAAGCAACACACCTAGAAGTTCCACAGAGTCATTTAAATCTTCTACATATTTTGGTAAAAGCTATGAATACGCTAATGAGAATTATGATGACACCAATTGTCAAGCAAGCGGTAATAAATGATTGCAAATATATTTAGGAAAATGACAATTAATTGCAATTTTTCCCCCTTAGCATCAAATTCCTACCAAACAAATGCCGCTCCTACTTGGCCGCGTGCCAGTACAAGTCATTATAGATCATCAAGGGAGCTTAGTGCGGAAATGACACAGAAACGTAAGAGCCGTTTCGATTCACCCATGCCACCGAAAATTCCTGCATTAACTGAGGATGATAAAGAGCCTGAAACTCACGCGAATGTTTTCAATCATTTGCATAGTGTGGAGGAAAATGTGGAAATATTTACTACAAATTCTAAAGAGCAACCGACCAGCAGTACTATAATGCTTTCAACTGATTCGTCTCCCGAGAGAAAATTAAGTGACATCATAGATATTACAACACCCTCCCCTCAAACCGTGCCATCTGACACTATATCGTCAGCAGTTGTTAGGCGTGGTGATCGTACGCGTGTACGACCACTCCGTTTTCTAGGTAATGAGGACGATTCCGATAGCGCTAAAGTAACTATTGTACATTCACCAATGCCAAATAAAATAAATTGGTCAAATTTGAAAGAGAAAACTGATGCTTACATAATGCCCAGATATACGCGCGTCAATGGAAAGCTGAAAAGGAGTAAGTGAATGATTTAGAAATAATGTAGAGAAATAATCACATTACTTTTTAGTATCAACAAAAACTTTTCAAATGAAGCAACTGCAACAGGCGACAACTTATAAAAAACTTGACGCCCAAAAGCATTTTGCCAGAAGTTATAATCTACTTTTAGAAACCCCAAATGATAACCATCGTCGCGCCAGTAGCAGTCGCACGTAAATATGCTGACAACAATTGTGGTCCACGTGCCGCTCGTGTTTTAGTTTGTTAATATTGCATTACTTCTTATTTTGCACTCATCTAAAAGCAATAATGTACATACATACATTCATTCCATAATATTGTAATTATATTTTATAGTACGTTATTTTTTAGTTTTTTTACTTATAAGTCTACTGTGGCGATTGATTAAAAGAGTCTGCGGGATTCATGATGCAATAATAAAAGGTGATATGGGTAGTTACAGCTCTTTTCGACGCTCCTTTAGCTCAAGGTTGATTATAGCTTACGAAGCCGTTTGGCGAAATAATACTAAATTTAGTACAATTTTGTCTTGTACCAAAATATTTAATTAATAATTGTGAAAAACTGAGCTTTTTGAAATTTTTTATGAAAATTATATATAACAAGCTAAATGATATATGTACATATCTTACACGTTACTTATAAAATAAATGTTTACTAAGTTTAAACACTAGATTTTTACTTTGCTTAAAGTTCGATATATAGGATTTTGACACAAATATACTGGAAAATATATAATTAATCCTTCTTTTCGTATAAAAGTAATTAAAAATTTGTGAAAAGCTGAGAGTACAATTTTATGTAGTTTTGAAAATCGCTGTAATATTTAAAGTGGTTTCTCAAAGGGGCAAATTGAATTTTTCTAATACAGCTTAAGATGGCGATCGGAGCTAGACGAACGCGAACTTTTAAAACCTTTTTTTATTGCATCATGACGGGTTAGTTGATTTGGGAAGTTAAAAAATTGCTTTTTTGGTGTATAGTTTTGAGTAAAAAAATATTATATTTTCAAATTTACATATAAGTTATTGGGGTAAGATTATATACTACATACATACATTCGCTAAAATACTGACGTTGAACCGCCCCACAGATGATTCACAATAACACAACTTCGTTTCGATTGATGCCAATAGTTACCTTTCTGTTGGTTTGGTATTTTTATTTAAAAATCTAGCGATAGTATACTTAGCACTTAACATCTTCTAATAATAAAGCTTGAGGAGGTGATGTGGATTGTTAGCAGCAGCCTAAATTTCAATCGCTAAAAAAAATTTGTGCCCAAAAATATGAAAAAGTGGCATGAGACATATTTTTAGGCAGTCCAGCTTTTCGTTTGAGGGGATGCTCGGAACTATAATTTAGCAGAATCCCATTGCAAGGCAGCATGGAACTTTCCTTTACAGAAAATAGAAGATAGGGTGACTTTAAAAGCATAAAAATGGCGCTCTCAGGTGTGAAGAGAATTGACTTACGAAATGAGTCGAATTTTCTTATTCAAGTGATTTTATTTCGACAACTCGTAATCACTTTGAGATCGATATTCATCATGCCCGGTTAATGAAAGACACTTCTAACCTTTGGAAAAAGTACAACAAATCTTATAATTAACAACAAAACACAATCGGCCCTATCGCGAATTTCCATGAACAAATATTCCCAAAAATTATAAAGCAAAACAAAAACAATTTCTCCCAATTTGTTTTTGTTTTGCATGTTAAATTATGGGAAAGATTTATTCACACGAAATTGGCGATAGGGCTGAATTTAAATGTATACGAGCTGTTAATAAATAAAAATTCTTTATTAGTATTCAAATCTGTAGTTTACAATAAAATTTGTAGATTAGTGTGGTTTTTGCAAAAAAATTTGATTTATTAAAAATTCTATACTTCTATGCTATTTTTGAACCTTTTCAAGCGTTTTTTAAATTTATTCGTAATGCAGATTTCCTATATATTCATATCACATCACATAAAAAAGTTAAAATGTCTATAATTTATTGCATTTTTATGAGAAAGGCAACATCGTGAGTTAATTGGGCCGACCCACTACATACTCACATGCATTTGCTAGAACATAACATTGGCATGCTATGCCTTATCACTTTCGTTTTTTGTTTCCTCATCAATTGGTTTCATATAAAACAACGCATATTCACGCTTCAATACCCGATGCTGGGCACGATCATATGTAAAACGTATATTACGTTTATTATAATCCAAATAAGTGCGTACGAAGTGACGATTTGTTTCGTGCACATCTGGATGCTGCAAATACTCGTCCACCGGCATCCATTGTGCTTTTTCAATTTCTCGATCGCATTTACACACTTCAGAATTGAGAGGTTTTAACGCCACCACCACATACATGTCCGAGCAACCGAAATTTCCGCTATGTGAATGGCGTATACTGATCACTGTGCGGAATACACAATCAATACCGGTTTCCTCTTTCACCTCACGTATGGCGGCGTCTACAATTTCCTCACCTGCAATAAAGTGACATTGAAATGCAGTTACATACAAAACGCAAATTAAGGTACTGCATTTGACGTACCTGGCTCAACATAGCCACCCGGCAATTTCCAACTATTCTTTATCAATGCAAAACGATCGCTAACTACTAGAACTTCATTATTGTCGTTGACTACAAGTCCGCCTACACCAAGCATAGTGTGACAGAAAGTTGGTATATTGGCATATTCATCGGTTGGCAGCCAACGACACATTACAACAGATGAGGTACAATTTGACACATGATGGAAATCAAAGCCGACCTGCAAGGTAATTTAGCGGTGGAGTTAAATAGCGTTTTAGATATATGAATTTGCGTATTTAAATGTATACATACCTTAGCTAAGTGCGGCACCCAATCGGCATGTTCCTTCTGCACATTAAACCAAATTGCTCGGCGTTTAATCGACATCCAATAGTTCAAAGATGCTGCAAGAGACAATTTTATATGCATAAATAAGGTGATTGCGTAGGTGTATACATTTTAGATTTGGTCTAGTTATGTGATGGCTGTATTTAACAGTTCAACAGAATTGTAAAGGTCACCTTTAAAAGCAAAAAATGTTGACTTAGCTGATAATTTCACATTAACTAAAACGCCTAAGGTACATTGCACTTCCGCGATGTCAACAATTCCAATCTAAACAAATATATATGTATGTATGTACATAGCTGCCTGGACCTCTGCTGTTTTATACGCTGGCTATAGTTGCTTATCTTTAGAGCAATTAATCACTATCACTTACTTTTTATGTAGATAGTTCAATATTTTCATAGTAAATATCAACTCGCGTAGGAGTGCTAACTAAATTTTCATAACTTACTTTACCATAAATTTATGTACTTGCCTTCAAACGGAACTAGTGGAATTCAATGTTTGAATATAAACGTTATCTTTACTCGACATTTATTTGCCCTTGTTATAATGAACAGCTCTAAGTGCGGACGCTGAAAGGTCAATTATAAAGCACGTATGTACATATACTAATTATCATTTAATTAAAAATTGAATTCTATGACAAAAAGACTCTATGCTGAAACTTAACGAAACTAACTAACTAACTTAGTTACCTCCATAACTTACTCTGTAGTTTCTTAGCAAAATCTGTGGATTCATCGTATTCCTTTGCTGATTCTACTTGCACGCCATTGAAACGGTCAACACTGCCTCGAAATACTCCCTCAGGTACGTCCATGTTTCCTATTCCGGAGCTGCGTTTCTCTAAACTACCCGGATGAAATATGATAAGGCGTTTTCAAATAATTAATTACAAATAAATAAATATAAATTACTTAACTTACTTTGACAAATTACTTGAAATAAAACGCGTCTGCGTCCGCCCTTGTTGACAATCACTTAGCTGCTGAATGGGGTAGGAATGTGAATATTGAGACACCAAAATGCACTTGCAAAAACAATTGCGTTTGTGCTCGCAGCGATAGTGGCCGTCAAGTGTGCAACTTTTTTTTGTACCAACTATGCAAAAATTTCTATTACACAATAACGACGGCGTCGCCACAGACAATCGCAATGACGACGACGAGAACAATGAATGTGTTTGTAAGCGGGGTGATAACAGAGGGGCGGGAGCGGGTAGCAACAATGTTTTTGTTGCTGTTGACGACAAAGTCCGGCTTCGTATAAAAGCAATTGATTGACGTTTAGTTGGAATGTTTGCTGCATTTATTAGGTGACAGTAACGTTGGGTCTGCGCGTTTAGTGTATTTGAGCGTTGTAACGTTGGCCATATTCGGTAGCTGTTGGCTGAGGGCGTACATGTACGCGCTATTGATTCCATTAAGAACAACTGCCGCGTTGTCCTTCCTGCAGCAAACTGATAATACTGGTATTTGTGTGTCCAGTAAGTTTTCCGACTTTGCAAATGTGTTGCTGCTAGTGTCCTACGTTTGTTAGTTTATTTGCAGCAATCGGTTCATTATCGCAAGTTTATCTTTGGTGAAATAATAAAGTAATAGTAATGCTTTTGTCTGCCGTTTTGTACTTGCAAATCGTATGCAAAATATGCAATCGCTATTATATTTATTGATAAGCAACTACAAATGTATCACTTAAACGCAGTCAAATTTGTGCTTAAACCTATTTTACGCTTTAGATATGTATGTATATTATCATAGTGATTTACTTAAAAATTAACGTTCTTCACGTTTCAACTAAGCACTGTACTTATTTATTATTAAATATAAGCACCAAATTACGTATAAAGTTGTGTGCACAAATGAGCTATCACAGAATCAAAACAAACGAAACTAAAGCTGAAATTAGTCAAGAACGTAAACCTACCGGTACGTAAACCCGAGTCAGCTGACACGATCTGTCTTACCAAAGCGCCATGTAAATGAAAACTCAACACCGCAGAATTTTTCTGTAGTTGTAGCCCGTAGCGCAGAAATCTGCGGAATTTAGATTTTTCCGTGTCAGCTGATTTCTCCTTCTTTAGATGGTTGCCAGTTCGTCAGTTTTACAGATGGTAAAAAAGATATAAGTTCCTACTCAAAATATGTTTAAAATATTTGAAATTTACTATTGAATAAGTTTTTTGTTGAAAACTAAGTAGTTTATATTTAGCTAAAATCTATTATAGCACGAAAAATTGTAGTTGAAAGGGTAAGTTTATGAAAAGGCATTGATGAGTGGCAACAGTGTAGTAAGCAACACTGAGGGCTCCAGTAATCGACAAAATTCTGCGTATACAGACTGCGTTTAAGTATACGTTCTGCGTTCTCGACTAATTTCAGCTTAAAAGACAGCTGGCGCATCACAAAGAACGGTCACTGATAAGAATTTCCATAGCGTTGCCAGTTCCCAAACAGCTGTTCGAAGTGCTGCAACAGGCCGAAAATTTACAATATTGTTACGATTATCCTTGAAACCTTGAGGGATTTCCCAAATATGTTCCGGCTCGTATCGCTGGGTTGTTAAATAAATGCTCACGATGACCAAATTGTAAGACAATTAACTTTATTGTATAACAAACAATTTACAATACTCGCTAATATAGTAAAAACACTTTACAATACTCGTTAAAGCAATTACAACGCTTTACAAAACTTGTTAACACAATTAAACTTATAGCTTGCTTATTTGCAACTCACTTCTTTGCTCACTTTACTTGTAGCTTGCTGACTTGTATGACTGCTTTTACACAGTTCAAGTATTGAATTCAATTCTGCTCGCATGTGGAAGAGAGGGGGTGAGAAGAAAAGGGACGAGTACACATGCGTCTGTACCGTCAAGTCGTTTCAACTTTCTTGCTTTGCTTTTGGCATTTTCGTTGCTTCCCATTTAAAGAACCAAAAACTTGAATTCAACAGAATTGAAACGTGTAAAAGCAAATAGAAAACACAAAAGAGAATGAGCAAGAATTGCTTTCAAGTACTTGAATCATGTAAATCGGGTGTAACTAACCCAACTCCGCTGTGTGCTCGCACTCATGGCAACTCTAGAACGTTCTGAAGTTCATCGCTCATTCTCTTTCTCTCGCTGTTCGCCATGAACCAATTAGAACAGATCTGACCGGTTGAGAAGCAGCCATTTGTAATGGCAATTGAGAAAAAAGTATGTGACGTTCGTAATTTTGAAGTTTGCTATTTCTGTTTTGCTTCTTTCTTTATGTGTATTTTGTCGGTGAAATAAACAGTGATTCTTAAGTGATTTTTTGTGCAAATGTAATTAAAATGAAGTGCGCGGTGATTGAATGCGAAAACACGTACATAAATAATAAATTGGTTAGCACAAGAATGTGCCCAACATTGCTTGCATTTTTTCTTTATGCTTCTTTTTCATATTCTTTGTTTACTTTTCACAGAAAATAACATGGCGCCGAAATTACAAATGTCAGCCAGAAAATTACTTTTTTCTTTTGCGCCATCTTGTCAGATCTTGTGTAGTTGGATCGTGGCTGTTCGCAGTGTTCATCCAACTTGACGTTTCTTTTTGTGGAACATTCTACGTCATTCCTCGAACATTCTGCCTATTTCTCGTTGTTCGCTTCGCGTTGCCGCAGTATTCGCCACAATATATAAGTTGTCTTATTATTTTTAAACTTTTGTGTTCAGGGCCTGGCTAATTGATAGAAAAGTACTCCTTATTGTAAATTTGTAACAACTATGGGTAAATGGATATGAATTACCAACAAATGAGGTAGTGCGCTCTCAAAATTTTGTATGGCGAATTACATAATTCGAATGGTAATTGGAGTGCGAATTACGCATAAGAGAGCGAACTACGTAATTGGAGTGCTGTGGGAAAGCCGTATAATGCAGCGTTTTTGCTGCATTTAAAATGCAACATTTAGCAGTTTCGAACATATGTTTTCGAAGAGCGTTCATGCTATAGCATTTAGCAAATGTACATTTACGCGAGTTCGAAATCGTATGCTTTTGACAAACAGCCGTGTTCCAGTCTCTTATTTAAAGCCCTACTGAAAAGGAAAAAATAAATTTTAAACCAAAAATTCAATAAAAGACTTGAATTGTTTTAACCATAACCAAACATTTGTTTGTGTATACATATATTCATTTGTCGGTGCTGTCAATTAAAATTTTCTCACTTAATTAGGAAACAAACCAATACAGAGTTGGTCACAAATTGATCCAGATTTCTATCAGCATCATATCGATGTTGAATTTGCTTAACTTTTCTTTATCCAAATATGTAATGTAAAATAAAAGAAATCTCGATCGGCGATCACTGAAACGCAGCTAGCAACTGTATACTCGAAAAAGTAATGTTGCCACTTTTTCTCTTTAAACCATGTTCGAATCGTGGAAATTTTGGAAGATCACAGGGTTGCTTTTAGCCTTTAGACTCTTAATGCAAAAATGGAGTTGCATTTAGTTGCATTTAGGTGAGGAATTTTGTATGGATAAATGTACATTTAGAGTAGCATTTAGAGCTAAATGCGCTAAATGTGCTTTTACGCGTAAGCAAAGATAATAGGGCTATTCGCGATCCGGTGCAAATGGCCTAGCATCATTGCATTGCAAATTTGTATTGCAAATTATTTGCAATACACAAACAAAATACACGCATTTGCATTTGTCATTGCTTGGCAAATTTGCAATACCGAAAACCCATAGCATAAAAATGCTATGCATTGCATTCATAAACAAAACCAAAGCTGATGCACAAAAATTGTTTTGCAAAAGCTTTACCATGACAGTTTAATAAAGATCGCTCACAATCCATGGCATATTTCTGCAATTGCATAAATTTGTCAGCTCTTATGCACCGAATCGCGAATAGCCCTAATATCGAAATAACCGATTTTTTTTTGTGTTGGTAATTCACATTCAATTACCATGCGAATTACGAACATTTCGGTGCCGTCTCTAATTTTTATCGGAAATTTATCGAAACTAGCTCACAAATCAAAATTTGCATGTTTTCTGAGTACGAAAAGTAAAATTTATCAGAAGGGCTGTTCCGGATCAATTGTTGTCAATTTACAAATGCAACGAATATGCAAATGCAAGATCCTGAACAGCCCTAGTGTATAAATTCCTAATTTACATTTTGAGTGAATTTTGCAGCGAAGAAAGACAAAATCAAAACACAAAGACAGAGACAGAGAACTGTCAAAACATTTGTGTCAATCGACTGCCTTGTAAGGTTGCATTTTAGAAAGAAGGAGAAAGAGGGTAACCATTTTATCCCCTTTTGTGAAAAGGTACTAGTAGTAGTAGCAGTAGTCTGGTAGTGCTGAAATGCGTTTTTTGTATTTAATATATGAATTAAATATATGAAGCAAATTCCACTGATCTATAAATAGACAACGAATTACCTTTTTTTTTATGGTATACAAAATAAAATATGGTAAAAGTAAAATAAATGAAGAATGAGAGAATTTCATTCACATAAAATTCTGACCAAAGAAAAATCCTATCGACAAAAATTCCCAAATATTCAAAATAAACCATGGTTTCATTGAAATTCCAGTATATATTAAACAAAATTAATGCAATTCAAACAAATCCTTTATTCGAAGAGACTATATGAAGAAATATGCAAATAGTAAATTTGCAATTGATATAACGCATATAAATTAATCTTTTAAAATCTATTATATTTGTTGCATTTAAAAATTACTTGTTCAATACCTTAAATTGAATTACAATTGTTTTTTGTTTTTCAATTAAAAGTTTTTAGTAATGTTTTCTACTATTTTCTCCAATCAGTCTTGCTTATCATTATATTGGTTACATTTTAACCCTCTAGTAGGCTGAACCGCCTCCAGACGGTCGTTAACTAAACACCTTTTTAATGCACCTATAATAATTTTTTTCTATATTCGTAAGGCACGATCTTTGGACAAAAATCGTACCTTTACGGCGGTGTAATGTTTAATCCGTTATGTGAATCCGTTTTATTTTAATCGGCAGTTGAATTCCAAAATAGGAAACACGGTTAAAATTAATTATTTCTTTCGTAATTAAAGAAATTTCTTCTTTTGAAAAATTTTTTGATATAAAAAAATTCGGTGGATTTCGTTGTTAAAAGCACCGTATTTTAATATTAGTTTTATAATTATGTCACCATTCGAAATGGAGAAAATTGCTTTCGAACACAGACCGTCTACAGACCGGCTTGCCGACATATAAAAACCCAGTTTGCATTTTTGACCGTCTGCAGACGGGATTGCCGGTTCGTAGGTCAACATTGTGTAAGAGAAAGCTGAAAATATGTGTAAGTATATCGGCGAGCCCGTCTCCAGGCGGTCTTGGTTTTTCGCCCCTGTAGGAAAAAGTTACTGTCACAGATCGAAATGGACATCATTTTTGGATTTCTCGTGCTAAAATCACCCATTCCTGAATTTTTCAACTCATAAAAAATTGGCCTACAAGAGGGTTAAAGTTAGATCTTGAATATCGTAATTTAATTACATTTGGTTTTTTTAAAATATAATATTTTTGTAATGTTTCTTACTTTTTTCTCAAATCAGTCTAGTTAATGATTATATTGGTTACACTTAAAAAATATGTCTTCAATATCGTAATTTAATTACATTTGGTTTT